GAAGGAAAGTTCCAACCACCGTAACTGGCAGGAAGAAGGATCTGAGCAGGGAGAGGGTCGGCACTAGGTTATATACCGGACAATGACAGGGAGCTGCATAGCTGACTGATGGGTACTGCTAGGGGAAAAAACCTGATGATGACCATGCATGCAGTACTCGCATACCTATTTGGAATCGACATGAGCAATTACTCGAAGAACAAATAAAAAGATTCCCGGTTGAGAGAGGTTCAACTTGTAATTGTTTATCATGCTTTGGACATCACTGCATTGAGTTAGTTCAGAAGTACTGATGATAGGCTTTATTATAGAGAACCTTGGACTTCTCAATCCAGAGACTATAGAGGAGGTGGAACATTAGAATCTATAGTTCCTTATGTTCTTTCTGAGACCATGCCAAACAAATAGGAAACAAGGAAAGGACATTCATTGCTTTATCTAGGTTACTCATGTACCCTTAAAAAGGAAAAAAGTGTTATCTCTCAGACAAAATGGTTCTAGGGATAATTCTGGTGAATATGTTTGATTAGAATTAAAGGCCACTGGTGCTTGGTTTATATAATCTCATGTATAAGAATGTGTTTGCTTTGTGATAAATATTGTTTCTGCTAAATATTGCTTTCTGCTAAATATTGTTTTTTTCACATATATATTTGCTATGAATTTGAATGTTGGCATAAACTAATATATAATCTAATTATGGTTTTAATTTACCATAGTGTTGTGATTGCAGTTACAATAAATTGTAATGAAATTATCATATTATTTTTTTTAGTAGTACAGTATTAATGCAACTGTAACACTTAGGCTACATCTACACTGCAGGCTTCTTGCGCAAGAAGCTTTTTAACTTCTTGCACAAGAGCACATCCACACTGCAAAAGTGCATCAGAAAAGTGATGGGTTTTTGCGCAAGAGAGGTCCAGACTGCATGGACACTCTCTCACAAGAAAGCTCTGATTGCCATTAACAGAATGGCCACCAGGGCATCTGTGCTTCTTTCGATAAGCTGTTTTTGCGCAAAATCCCCATTTTCTGTCCACTCACACCTTTTTGTGCAAGAGCTCTTGTGCAAAAGGTCTTATTCCTTGTAGAAAGAGGAATACTTATACCACGAAAAACCCTCTGTTCTGTCAATTCACTGTAAATTTTCTTGTGCAAAAACATGCTTGAGGTGTGGACGCTCAGCCAGTTTTTGCGCAAAACCAGCTAGTTTTGCCTAAAAACTCTGCAGTATAGACATAGACTTAGAGTCCTCAATTAGAGTTAGAGCTATACAAACATAAACCGAAAAGGAAAACAACAGAGAAAACATATGACAAATGGAAGCACTCTGGAGACATTCAATCTAACCTCCAACAACATGCTACATTTTTTATAATCCGAGAAAGGGTGAATGGATTGAACATTTTTTGTCCCAGCAAATTTATATACAAACTGAGGCCCTGAGCCTGTAAACACAGAATGGAAAACTACCACTAACTGGCAACCTAGTTGGCAGTTAACTGCAGGGGATAAACACTGAATGTATTTGGAAAGTAAAATATTCTCCCATTTCCTCATATAATGCACAGTCAACCTTTCAGATTTGTTGCCAGGGAATGCTGTGAAGGCAAAAACTATAAATGAGCTCAAAAATGAATTAGATAAATTCATGGAGGATAAGTGCATCACTGGCTATTAACCAATATGGTCAAGGATGCCATCCATGCTCTGACTGCCAGAAGCTGGGAGTGGATGACAGGATGGATCACTTGATAATTGCCTTGTTGTGTTCATTCCCTCTGTAGCACTTGGCATGGGGCAGAATTGGAAGACAGGGCACTGGGCTAGATGGATGATTGGTCTAACCCAGTCACTATGTTTTTTACCCCAGATATGATCAGATTTTAGACAGATTAGTGGAGCAGAGCTATTGCTTTACCTATACTTACCTATTGTGTTACTCTTTACTTAGGAGTACTGGAACAATTTTTATAATGAGGTTGCTGAGAGTCATTGAACCAAACAGTAAACACTGCATATAATGGAAACCACTTCAAGCCAGGAGGTGTGGTAATATCCCCAGCAATCCTGTTTCCAGCCCCTATGTCTTTACTACTTCACTGGAAGGAAAATTTCAACATCCACAAGTATCCTCCATTGTCAATAAAATTCTAGATTCTGACCCCACCCTCATCCCAAGGGGTAGACCCATTCGTTGCTCTGGTGAACTCGATCCACAACTCCAGGATTTAAATAAGACGCCATATTTTGAACTCCATCCACAACTCCAGGATTTAAATAAGACGCCATATTTTAGAAAGAAATGCACTCCCCAAAGAAACCTGTATCTGAATCACTCCTTTAGTTTATGAGCTTCAAAAAAATGAGTGAATAATCAATTTATTTAAGTGAAGCCCAGTTAACTCTTTTTAAAGGACAGGTCCTATTCAGATGAAATGGGAAAATCCAGCTTCTGGCTCTGAGGACATGGAGGATTTCCTACCAGGTGCACACTGTGCAGGCAACATTCCAGAGGGAACACAGGGTGTGTAGTACTCACGTGCAGCACAAAGCTCAGTTCCTTGGTGACCTTTGTGTGCCGTTACGTGAGAGGACAGTATGACAGGATAACTGCTTCCTGGATCTCCCCCTCTTCCCACCCGAGACAGCCTGTATTGCAGCTACAGAGTCATGTATCTATAGCCACAGGACTTCAGTAGTAGTAATGAACCCGAAATAACTCCCAGAGTGCCTGGAACAGGAAAATGGTACACGTTTCTAGACTCAGCTATGCTCTGAACCCCAGAATTTGAGACTAATTAAATTTCCTATCTGATCATGTACGGGCATTTCACTCATTTGTAATAAAACCCATGTTTTGTAATGTGTCTGACGAATAACTGTAAATTGAGAATAAGAAAAAAACAAAGGGATTAAATGCTTGGATAACACAGAAATTTGAAACTAAAAACACAAAAGAGAAAATATTGTATAAAAGCAGTCAGAAGCCTTCACTTTTACAATCGCGGACAACATTGACGTAGGGCTGATACGCTTTATAGGTTAGGAAAAGTGTGACGATTCTTTTGAAAATCTAATGCATTTAGATATTGTTTAATCTAAGTGTGTCAAAACCAAACCCCATTCAGCTATGCAAAAATCCATTAAATTAGAGGAGTTTACTGTATAATACTAATAAATGATTAGCACCTCATTAACAATTATTTTCACAGCTAGTGACAGGAGCCAATTAGCACCTTGAGCAAGTATGTGTTGCTCAAGGAAATTTGTTTCTCCTTTCACAAATCTCACCTAGTGTGAGAAGTGTTATTAGGGCAGGACTTTGTAAAATAGTAATAAATAATAATAATAATAGGATTGTGTGTTTCCTGTCTTTGTGTAGTTATGTGCTCCATTCACTGCCAAATATGGCTCAGATTACGTATATAGGTGTGGGAACTAGAGATTGAGGGGTGCTGCAGTAACCCAGGATCCTGACCTTGTGCCTAAAGTACGAGCTAGGCTTGCGAAGGGTGAAAATGTCAACCAGTTACCTGGAAACCATCACCCTTTCCAGGTAATGTTTACCAGTGGCCTGGCTGACCTGGAGCAGTCCCCCACCCGTGGGATCATGTTAACCAGTTAAACATAACATTTAACCAGTTAAGTTTTTAAATGGGATTCTACATCCCTAGTCCTAGCTGCCTCCCTACATGGGGGACTCAACTGCTGTCTCACTCTCCAGGGGCTCTGCTGATGGTTCTGTGCTTGGGGTCCTGGCTGCTGCCCTGCATGCTAGTGTTCTGCTGCCAGCCCTGTGTGCTGTAGAGATGTCAACATGACTACACAATTAACCGATAAACCTGGATTTATCAATTAATCCTATCAACTACGTGCACTCCCCCCACTAGCTGCCTCTGAATCAGAGGCAGCAAGGGTGGGCAGAGGTGGAAACTGGACCCTGTGGGACCTGGCTTTTAAACTGGCTCTCCATGAGCATCAGAACCCACGGAGCCGCTTGGCCTCCAAACCCATGCTGCTGCTGCTATGTGGGGAGGAAGGGGGAGGGGAAGAAGGAGTGGGAGCTGATACACATGGGGAGCCGGATTTTAAGCTGCCTCTGCACGTGACAGCTCCATGGAGCCACCTGCCCCACCTTAGTGCTTCCCACAGAGGCAGTGGAGGGAGGCAAGAGTATCGCCTCTACCTGCCGTCTGTCCCCCACATGCTGCTGCCAGGCAACAGCACAGGGCAAGGGGGCAGAGGAGGCTGCTACAGAGCAGCTTCTGTCTGTGGCAGGCCCAGGCTCGCTGCGGACCGAGGCTGCTCCATGAGATGCCAGCACAGCCTCTGTCTGGAGGGAACTTGGGAATCCCACAGACAGGGGCTGCTGCCACTTTGTGCAGCTGCCTCTGATACAGAGGCAGCTGCACGGGGTGGCGGGGGAAGGGGGTCTCCCTGGGCGTAGGGCCGGGAGCATGCTGGCCCCCAGGAACTATGAAATAATCACGTAACTGCTAAAACGACTTAAACAAAATAAAAAATGAATTGCTATCTAATATCTTTGGCGTGCTGGGGCCTTCACTGCTGGCTCTGGGTCTGAGCTCCTGGCTGCCAGCTCTGCCCGCTGAGGGATGGAGGGAGGGGCTCTGCTTTGGCCCCGCACAGGAGTGGGGGGGGGGAAGTCTTGCTGCAAGCCCTGTGCCCCAGGGCCCAGAGGCTAGCCTGGCACACCAGGTCTTTGCTCCTGGCCTCAGCTGTATGTGTGTGTGGGAAGAGGGGGGGGGCGGTAAAGAGGGAGGGGGGAGAGGTCAGCACCCCTACTCTTTAAAACATCCCCACGCCATTGGCTTATGTATTCATGCCCAGGGCAGCGGGCAGAGGCTGGTAATTAAAAGCTTTCTCCAATGCCTTTGCCCTGCAGCACACACAGAGCACGAGGCGCTGGCGGGAGGGGACATCTAGCAGCCTGGGGGTGGCTCGGGCGGGCAGCGACGCGCCCCGCGCACGGTTCGCCCATCCCCGCCGTGGCGGGAAGCCAGCCGCAGGGCTGGAGGGGCGGCTGGGTGCGGGGCCAGGCGGCAACGGGACCCACCCCTGCTCCGCTTTCCCCCTGCCGCGCTCACCCCATCCCCCGGGAAGCCGGAGCCCAGCGCGCCGCATTCGCCTTTTCCCCCCTGCAGGCGGCCGCGGGAAGCAGCGTGATTCACCCGGGTCAGCCGCGGGTGAGTCTGCCTCCTTCCCCATAGCAACCCCCCCCCAGCTCGCCCGGCCCGGCCCAGCCAGGCGCTGCAGAGCAGCACGTCCCCCCAAGGCGCCCGCCCCGCGCGCTTCCTCCCTGCGCCGGCTCCCAGCCCGCTGCTGGAGGAAGAGTGTGTCACCGGGCGGCCTCTGACGCCAGCGAGTGTCCTGCAGCCGCCACCGCTGACGCAGAGCCTGGCACACAACATCCACCTTGCCCCAGCCGCCGCCTCCCTCGCTGCCGGCCTGGTGCCTGGTTCTCAGCACATCATCCGAGCGGGGGAGGAGCAGCGCCGGGGGGAGCCCCCCCCTCCGATCCGGCAGACGTCCCAGAGGGAGAGCCACTGGCAGTGCAGAAGAAAGGGGAGGCAGTTACACCAAGTCCTAAAAATCATCCCCCCCCCCCCGTCAAAAATTGCCTGTACAACCTCTGTGTAAATGAAAAGGGGAAGGGGTGGGTTCCAGCAAACATGGTCCCAGATTTCTCTTGCTGGATCCATAAGGATGCGTCTGAGCCATTAGCTATGATCTTTGAAAAGTCATGGAAATCTGCAGAGATTGCAGAAGGCTAGAAAATGCTAATAGAGAGAGTAGTTATCATAAGGCCTGTAATACTCCGAGTTCCACAGGCTTCAGTTTTGGGACCAGCTCTGTCCAATATCTTCAACAATGAATTAGATACAGGCAGTCCCCGACTTATGCGGATCCGACTTATGTCGGATCCGCAGTTACGAACGGGGCTTTTCTCGCCCCGGAGGACACGGACTGCGGGACCTTTTCCAGTACCCCCCAACAGAAAACCCCCAAACCTGTGACCTTCACATCTGTGCTGCTGCTGGCAATAGTACTTGATTGAGACCTGGGTGCTTGGCCAGCAGCAGCACAAAAATAAAGGTGCCAATACTACTAACACCCATGATGACCCCTTTAATATTTTCTATCCATATGTGGAATAAACTTTATGTGCTCTGAAGAATACGCAGATGTGCAACACCAGTATAAAATTCATCCTGCTGGCTGTGGGCACTCTGCTAATCATCTGGGAAGCATTTGAATCTCTCCTGGGTGACTGCCCAAGAGCTCAGCTTACAGGGAACACTGGTCAGGACCTCCAGGCTTAAAACATCATGGAATTTCAGATGTAAACATATGAAACCATGGAACTATATTAAAAAATCCAAAAAACATGAAATTGACCAAAATGAACCATGAATTTGGTATGGTCCTCTCAGTCTCCTATCCCCTGAGCCTCTTATATAACGAATAAATAAATAATAATAATAATAATGATAATAATAACAACAATAGTAATAAATAAAAAAATATATTAACTAGAAACAGCTAGAGATATAGTTGGACCAGAAAATTGTAGAAAAAACCCTGATAAATTTTGGCACTGACCTACATCTGAATCAAACTGTGATAGTACAGGCAGTCCCCGGGTTACATGGATGCGACTTATACCGGATCCCTACTTACAAACGGGGTGAGGCAACCCCGCACTAGCTACTTCCCCCCAGCAGACTAGGGAGATGCGAAGCTAGCGCGTCCCCCTCCCCCCGCCCAGCAGACCAGGGAGAGGTGGAGCGGCTTTTCTCAGCAGACACCTCAGCTTGAGAATAAAGGACTGAGGGAAGTGAGGTGTGGGAGAATAAAACTGAGCTCTGGAGAAATGTTTGGCTAGAGTTTCCCCTACAATATGTACCAGTTCCGACTTACATACAAATTCAACTTAAGAACAAACCTACAGTCCCTATCTTGTACGTAACCCGGGGACTGCCTGTACTGGCATAGAGCAACAGCTCTCAAACTTTTTGTCCCCACTCAATGCAAACCTTACCATGGACCACCCGTTGCTTATGGAAACTCACTGTTAATTATATAAGTATGCCTGAGCCATTTTGCTAATGTTGCAGTTAGGGCAGTATGGTTTAATTGAAGGAGTAAGAAAGGAGGTATTAATCAAAATGATTAAACAGATTAAGCACTTTAACTTTCTCATGTTAGTTTATCAAACTTCATTTTAAATAAAGTAAAATATTAATTTATGTCCAACACAAAATATTTCAACATTGTCTTTATTTATGGCAGGAGTGGGGAACCTTTTTAAGGTTAGAGGCCATTGACACAGAAAAATCAATGGGGGCCCCCACCTGAGACCCCTCACTCTCCTGGTGCTCCAGGGCAGGGGAGGCAGGAACAAGAAGAAGTGAGGTTCAGGGCTTTACATAGGCCAGATTAACTCTTCTGGAGTTTCAGGGTTAGATTTTGTGACCTCCCTAAACTTTGGGGTGAGGTAAAAAATAAGGGGTTCAGTGTTCAGTGTGAGGTAGCCAACAAGTAGGATAGAGAGGGGGTGCAGCATCTTAGCGGGAGATGGGGTGTAGGAGGATATGAGGGTATGAGGTCTGGGTGGCAGTTAGGAGGAGGCTGGGAGTAGGGTGTCTAGCCAGGTAGCAGGGAACAGGAGCAAGGAAGGGTGCAGTGTGGTGTCCAGGAGGGAGGGTGCAGGAGCAAGGGTAGGTGCAGAGTCTGGCCAGGAGTAATTAGAGGTGGGTAATTGACTAATCATGTAGTCGATAACAATTTGGAGCGACTACACGATTAGTAGATAAGGGAAGGTGCTCTGTCCCAGCTTTCACCAATCGTGGTGCTACCTCCACCACAGTTTAAATATACAGGCAGTCCCCAGGTTACGTACAAGATAGGGACTGTAGGTTTGTTCTTAAGTTGAATTTGTATGTAAGTCGGAACTGGTACATATTGTAGGGGAAACTCTAGCCAAACATTTCTCCAGAGCTCAGTTTTAGTCTCCCACACCTCACTTCCCTCAGTCCTTTATTCTCAAGCTGAGGTGTCTACTGAGAAAAGCCGCTCCACGTCTCCCTGGTCTGCTGGGTGGGGCGCTAGCTTTGCGTCTCCCTGGTCTGCTAGGGGGAAAAGCAGCTAGTGCGGGGTTGCATCACCCCGTTTGTAAGTAGGGATCCGATGTAAGTCGGATCCATGTAACCCGGGGACTGCCTGTAGTAGGAGCTGGGCAATCAGGCAGCCTGGCTTCTACCACATTTCAAACTGCAGAGCTGCAGTGGGGATAGATCCCCGACCCATGTGAGCTGGAACAGAGCCAGGACCGCTGCAGTTCTCCCTTTCAAATCTAGTAAGAGCCAGGCCACTCTTACTACATTTAAAATGCAGAGCTTCAGTCCCAGAGCAGTGAGAGCTGGGACCGGGACCCCCTGCAGACAGGGGCGGCTGCCAGAGCAGCCTCTGCCTGTGGCCAGCTCAGGCTGCCATGGACAGGGGTGCTTTGTGGCAGCCTCCCCTACTCCCCCTTGCCACTGCTGCCTCTGATAGAGGCATCAGTGCAGAGGGGGTAGGCAGCACTGTGGAGACGGTGCTGGGGGGAACCGGTTTCTAAGTCAGCTCTCCCCAGCACAGGCTTCTATCCCTGCCCTTTGCATTCCCCCCATACAGAGGCAGCAAGTAAGAGAGGGGGAAGCAAGTAGTACACTACTCTACTATTTGCTTACATCCCTAGACAGGAGGGTGGGTGCAGGAGCATAGGTGGGCACAGGAGCAGGCTGGAGGCAGGGTGTCTGGCTAGGGGCAGTGTGTGGGAGCAGGCTGAGGGTGCAAGGCCTCAATGGGTGTGTGTGAGAGAGGTGGGAGTGCAGGGTCTGGGCATGAAGGGTAGAGAGGCACTTACCTGCCTTTGTGCCACTACCCCATTCTGCCCCTTTGTTCCAGCTGCAGCTGCGGAAGGCCAAGCAGCCCCTGCTGTCCTGGGCTGGCGTGTGGAAGTACCTGCTGCCCCTGTGTTGGCGCTGGTAAGAAGCTTCCCCCTCCTCCCTTCCCCGGCCCCTGGGAGAAAGCCAGCAGGCATGCCGTGTGGTCCCCGCCACCGTGGGCCAACCTTGGGGAGAAGCCGGATAAGTCTTTTAGTAATTAATGTGTATTGATTAATGACACTGTATGTATGTCCTCAAACATGCCCCCTGATTGACTAGTGTCAGCATGAAAAGTAAGTTTACAGCTATTGCAGAGCCACCCTAAGTATTGCACCTTTCCATTTCTACAAAGAAAGCAACTATTTTATTCTCAGAATTGCTCTTGCCTGCTACAGTCTACAGAGGACATATGTATTCTGGGCTAGAATCTCCACTGGTATAAATCAGTATAGCTCCATTCAATAAATAGTCTTCATGAGCCAGCATCGAGGGCCCAATCCTTATCCCATGGACTTCAGTGGAGCAACTCCAAATTACACCTGTCGTATAGAGACTTTATTTTTCATTTCTTTAAATTTAAAAATATAATTATTTTATTTATTCTGAAAGAGCATCTGAATGAGATTTTTTTTAACTGTGAAGTTGGATGTTTTTCAATACAAGAAGTAACCATATACTTTAGGCCAGAATCTCAGATGGTGTAAACCAGCATAGCTCCCCTGAACTAAAAAGCAACAACAAGAAAGAACAGTACCTAGTAATGTCTTCATGAGAGAGCACAGTGTCGCATAGGCAAAATGCCACATTAATTCTGCTTTACAAAATAGCAGTTTCCAGACACGCTGATTCCTTGGAAATTTAAAGAAGAACTCTGAAGAGAAAACAAAGTCTTAACACTTACCTAGTCTGTGAATTTTAAACAGAGTAGTCATGTGGGAGCTCTGTGTTTACACTGTGGATGAAGGTACATGATAGGAAGGGCAACCGTCAAATTGCTCTTCAATTTCTTATATAATGTACAGGTCAAACAATAGCATAATCATTTCAGATCTTTAAATAATAATGGTCATCAGTTTTACTTTCAGTGGTTTTTCACATTCCTAAATGTTTATCCTGTAACTACTGTCAATGTCGTCCTTCATTATCAGTCCTTTTATTTCTATCATTTCTCAATGCATTTTTGACAAAACCTCACTTTCTTCTTCCACTGTAATTTTGTTTGAAAACCTTTTTATATATGAATGGTTTGTTAAGACTCGGTATAGCATTCTTATAATGATATGATATTATATATGATACAGTAAGTGAACTCAAGCATGCTCCTTCATAAGTGTGTGTGTGTGCGTGTATGGGTATAAAGGAGATATATAGGCCTACATTTAAGCAATTAAATAGGTGCTCTGATTTTCAGAGATGTTGTGACCTGACAGTTTCTACTGCTCAACAGCCATGGAAACCAGGTGACTTGAATATGCTAAATATGAAGTTAGGGTCCACATTTTCAAAGATGATAAAGGTGTCTGGTGGGAGTTTCTAATGCATGTTAGAATGCAACCCAGCAGGTGAGATGCCTAATTCCAAAGACTTTTAAAGGGAGTTAGGTACCTACCTTTTTTTTTTGGCAGGGGGTGGGGTGGGGGGAGGAAATGGAGTCTATCTTCATCTTTAGACTTCTAAATAAATCTGACTTTAAGTACCTAACATGTAAATGTAAGCATTTTAACCTTTCTGCATATCATTTTTATTTTTAGCCATATCAGATTAAACAATTTGGATGAGGTGGCACAAAAGTGAACAGTTGCAATTGGTGTTTTTTTCCTACTGAAGTCTTTGGAAAGCTAGACAGGCAAACATTGGCAGGTCAGCCTTTTCTCAGCAATTTATATGTTAAATTTGTAGGGCGTTGAGAAGCCATACAAAGGTCTTGAAGCAGCAGAACGAAGTAAATAGCATGACATAATATATTTAGCAAATGATAATATAAGCTTTGGATAAACATACGGAGGTAGTTGAAAAATGCATTCCTTGGCTGAAACTAGAGGAGATTTCGAGTCCAACCGAAGAGTCTGCAGTGGCATTTTTTTGGCTTCTTTATAACAAACAAATCACTACCTCTTCTGAAATGGACAGCACTATAGCTATAACACTTTTGGATTGGTAAAGTCTTGAAAAAGTAAACTTCAGCAGTATGCATGCCCTTTCCATCCCCAGTGAATCATAAGGAGGCTAACACAAAGGTGATACCCCTTCTGGCTTTTTCTCAGAACCCACCATGTCTATTCTACCTGGCATTCTTTCTTTCTCCTGACCTGACCTGCACCAGGCCTCCCATTGAAGACTAGCATATATACTACCTTCCACTGCACTTAGCACACTCCTTCCCCCCAGGTCCACTCATTTCCTCAGGCATCCTCCCTTCCTGCACATACCAGAGTGATGATACTGAAGGCTTGGATTTATTCATAGAATATGTACAACAAGGATATTGACAAACAACTCTAAATCACACATCAGGTATGTCTTAACTCTATCTTGGTTGCAGTCTCACTAGAGTCCAAAGAGTAGTTCAAGCTTCATGACCATTCAGTTATTGTTATTTGTGATACAAGATACCTGTGAGATCCAGTTGTGGAAATATGATCCGTGAAGTGGCCACGAGTCTGCACATGTCACTCTTATGTGTTCTAGAGATCTTCAGCTTTGACAGATCCTCAGAATGGACAGATTGAAAACAAGATTTCACATTGCCACTGATCTTTAATAAATATCTTCTTTAATTTATGCTATGTCAAGAGGGCAGCGTATATCTTTCACTCATGGAAATGGGTTCTGTGAAAGAGAAGAGTGTTTTTATACCAGAGAATTCAAGAACCAGGGAGAAATGTTGAATATTTTCTAAGAGCTCTGAATATCTAGCTGAAAACTGTGTTTTGGGGAATGCAAAACATGAACATATCAGAGACAGACTGCTTACTGGATTAACAGATAAAACATTTCACCTCAAGTACAGCTGAAGAGAGATTTAACCCCAGCAACAGCTACATAGAGTGCAAAATAGTCTAAGCTAGCAAGGCAGCAAAATCTAGAGCAACTTGACAAACTTGAAAAACCTAAAACTGGTTTAGAAATTGAAAACAGACACATGCATGTTAAAAGTCATTATAATAAAATCCCTGAGGAAAAGAGAGAGAACTCTGAGACTACAAGGGACAAATTCCAGCCGACATGCACAAGGTGTAGGAAAAAGTCATATCCCAAAAGATGATCCATGTCCAACCAGAGGCACACACTGTAATAAATGCATGCAATATGGACATTTTGGTTTGTTTGCCACACCAAATCAGTCAGGGAGTTGTTTCATGATACAAACAATTAAGAGTCATTGTTTCTGGGATCTGTTACTGTTGATGACTTAGGGTACGTCTAAACTACACGGTTTTGTCGACAGATACTGTCGACAAAACTTCTGTCGACATAGAGCATCTAGACACATTCAGTTCTGTCGACAAAGCAAGCTGCTTTGTCGACAAAACCCTGTAGTCTAGACGCAACCCTACAGGCAATAACACCTTTTGTCGACAAAACTCAGTAGTCTAGACACACCCTTAGAGGCTTCCTAGAGAGCAAAACTGAATATTCATGGCAAGATTATTGACTTAAAATGTACTCAGTAGCTGATGTCATGGTCATCTCATAAGGGGATTTACAGTCACCACCAACCCTTTCCAGAGATTAAGTCACCTGACATAGCTCTGATTAGCCCTACAGGAATTCTGAATTGCACAGGTAAGTTCACTACAGAAACAATTTACAGCAACAAAAGTTATGTATTCAGAGTGTGTAAGACCAAAGGCCAACAGCTTTCTCAGCCAATTATAGCAGCCATAATGGGTAGAAGAACTCAATGGAATATTTGGGATTTTGGAAGAACCAATACAAATAACCTTAAGAAACAATGTCCAACCATATAATGTACATTAACCTCATAGATTCCTATCCCATTACTTCATACTGTGTCAAAGAGAATAGAGTAGCTTCTCTTCATTATGCCAATCACTTAGCCAAGAGCATGGGTGGTCCCCAATGTTGCCAGTTATAAAGAAAAATGGAAAAAATACGAATTGGTATGGATCTTAAAGACTTAATGAAATTATTGCGATATAAAAATGTTTCCTCATGCTGTTGGATAGCTTCCTCTCCAAAGTAAAAAGAAACCACAGTATACTTCATGCTAGATGCCTCCAGCATATTCTGGCAAAATCCTTTAGCCAGAAAGAAAATGCTAAACTGACTATATTTATCATGCCCTTTGACAGATTTTGATTTTGAACATTACATTTTACTTGTGCACCTGAAATTTTTCAAAGAAAGATGGCAAAGTTATTAATGAATAGAAATGGAGTTTTCATCTTCATGGATGATATTCTAACCCATGAAACTCTGAAGGACAACAGGGGCGGTGGATATGCACTGGGTCGACAGTTACTAAATGAGTCAGAGAAGATCTCATTTGGACTACAAGCATCCAGCTTTATTTACAACTAAAATATTTTCCTCATGGTGCTCAGGTCCTTAACTCAATTTTTGTTTTTTAGAAAATAAAATGAAAATGTGCATGCCTCATTTAAATCATTGCTCTGGGGTGAGACTTGGGATGAGGGGTTCAGTATTCAGGCTGCTTGGGGGAGAGAGAATTATCCAAGCCCTTTCTCAGCACAGCAGCTTAATGGCCAGATGAGATAAACCTCCTCGTAGCCACTGTTCCTTCAGCTGGCATAGCTGGGGAAGGGTGCCTGTCCCCTGTAATGGAATGGAACGCTAAATTGTATAATACTGTTCAGCCACTAGGTGGCAATGTGAGTAAAATACCTTATTTAAAGCTAACCTTAGCCATACCTAGGAGAGCATTAAAAGATCTTATAATGAATACATCTGACAAGTTTTGTAACCAGTCCATACCTGGTACAGAAATAGATGGCATTCCATATGTTTGTAGCCTTTAAATCACTCTTAAAACAATGGGGGAAATTCTCTACATCTCATTGCTTGTGGCACCTGGTTAAATACACAAACACCCTCACATGTAGGGCCAGTATGCT